GAAACAAGAAAAGAGCGAAGTAGAGAAACAGAAGTAAAGAAACAGAGAAGAAAGAAGTAAGAAACAGAAGTAGAAGAAACAGAAGTAGAAGAAACAGAAGTAGACGAAACAGAAGTAGAAGAAACAGAAGTAGAAGAAACAGAAGTAGACGAAACAGAAGTAGAAGAAACAGAAGTAGAAAAAGAAAACAGAAGTAGAAGAAACAGAAGTAGAAGAAACAGAAGTAGAAGAAACAGAAGTAGAAGAAACAGAAGTAGACGAAACAGAAGTAGAAGAAACAGAAGTAGAAGAAACAGAAGTAGAAGAAACAGAAGTAGAAGAAACAGAAGTAGAAGAAACAGAAGTAGAAGAAACAGAAGTAGAAGAAACAGAAGTAGAAGAAACAGAAGTAGAAGAAACAGAAGTAGAAGAAACAGAAGTAGACGAAACAGAAGTAGAAGAAACAGAAGTAGACGAAACAGAAGTAGAAGAAACAGAAGTAGAAGAAACAGAAGTAGAAGAAACAGAAGTAGAAGAACAGAAGTAGAAGAAACAGAAGTAGATAAAGCAGAAGTAGAAGAAACAGAAGTAGAGAAACAGAAGTAGAGAAACAGAAGTAGAAGAAACAGAAGTAGAAGAAACAGAAGTAGAGAAACAGAAGTAGAAGAAACAGAAGGGAAAACAGAAGTAGAAGAAACAGAAGTAGACGAAACAGAAGTAAAGAAAGAAGTAAAGAAAAGAAGTAGAGAAACAGAAGTAGAAGAAACAGAAGTAGAAGAAACAGAAAGTAAGAGAGTAAAAACAGAAGTAGAGAAACAGAAGTAGAGAAACAGAAGTAGACGAAACAGAAGTAGAAGAAACAGAAGTAGAAGAAACAGAAGTAGAGAAACAGAAGAAGAAGCAGAAGTAAAGAAACAGAAGTAGACGAAACAGAAGTAGAAGAAACAGAAGTAGACGAAACAGAAGTAGAAGAAACAGAAGTAGAAGAAACAGAAGTAGAAGAAACAGAAGTAGAAGAAACAGAAGTAGAAGAAACAGAAGTAGAAGAAACAGAGTAAGAACAGAAGAAGAAACAGAAGTAGACGAAACAGAAGTAGAAGAAACAGAAGTAGAAGAAACAGAAGTAGACGAAAACAGAAGTAGAAGAAACAGAAGTAGACGAAACAGAAGTAGAAAAACAGAGTAGAAACAGAAGTAGAAGAAACAGAAGTAAAGAAACGAAGTAGAGAAACAGAAGTAGAAGAACAGAAGTAGAAAAGAAGAAGTAGAAAAAGAGAGCAGAAGAAAACAGAAGTAGAAGAAACAGAAAAGAAACAGAAGTAAAAAACAGAAGTAGAGAAACAGAAGTAGAAGAAACAGAAGAGACGAAAGAAGTAAAGAAAAGAAGAAAACAGAAGTAAGAAACAGAAGTAGAAGAAACAGAAGTAGAAGAAACAGAAGTAGAAGAAACAGAAGTAAAGAAACGAAGTAGAGAAACAGAAGTAGAAGAAACAGAAGCAGAAAAGAGAAGTAGAAAGAAACAGAAGTAGGAGAAAAGAAGTAGACAAGAAACAGAAGTAGAAGAAACAGAAGTAGAAGAAACAGAAGTAAGAAGAAAAGAAGTAGAAGAAACAGAAGTGAGAAGAAGACAGAAGATAGAAAGAAGAAGAAGAGAGAAAAGAAGAAGAAAAGAAGTAGAAGAAAAGAAGAAAGAAGAAGAAAAGAAGAAGAAGAAGAAGAAGAAGAAGAAGAAAAGAAAAGAAGAAGAAAAAAGAAAAAAAGAAAAAAAAAGAAGAAGAAACAGAAAGTAGAAGAAACAGTAAGGATTAGGAAATTACAGTAACAGAAATAAAAGGAAGTGAAAAAAAAGATAGGAGAAGTTAGAAGACAGAAACAGAAGGTAGTACAGACATGACAGACAGAAAACAGAGATGTAAGACATGACAGACAGAAAGCAGAGAGTTGACAGACAGAAGACAGAAAAATGAGGTTGAAGAAGAAGAAGAAGACAAAGCAGATGAAGGAACGAAGACAGAGACAAACAGCAGTTGTAAGAACTCTGAAGACAGAGAAAAGAGCAGGTTGTACAGAGACAGAAGAAGACAAAACATGAGGTGTACAGACATCGAAGACAGACAAAAGAGGTTGAAGAAGAAGAAGAAAGAGCAGGATTGACAGACACTTGACAGACAGAAAACAGAAAAACACTGAAGAAGAAACATGCAGTTGAAGACATGAAGGAAACATGAGGATTAGGAAATATCAGACGGAGCAAAATCAAGGTTGAAGATGTGACAAAAAAAAGATGGAGGNATGTGAGTTAAGACAGACAAGCATGCAGGTTGTACAGACACTCTGACAGACAGACAAACATGCAGGTTGTACAGACACTCTGACAGACAGACAAGCATGCAGGTTGTACAGACACTCTGACAGACAGACAAGCATGCAGGTTGTACAGACACTCTGACAGACAGACAAGCATGCAGGTTGTACAGACACTCTGACAGACAGACAAACATGCAGGTTGTACAGACACTCTGACAGACAGACAAACATGCAGGTTGTACAGACACTCTGACAGACAGACAAACATGCAGGTTGTACAGACACTCTGACAGACAGACAAACATGCAGGTTGTACAGACACTCTGACAGACAGACAAGCATGCAGGTTGTACAGACACTCTGACAGACAGACAAACATGCAGGTTGTACAGACACTCTGACAGACAGACAATCATGCAGGTTGTACAGACACTCTGATAGACAGACAAACATGCAGATTGTACAGACACTCTGACAGACAGACAAACATGCAGGTTGTACAGACACTCTGACAGACAGACAAACATGCAGGTTGTACAGACACTCTGACAGACAGACAAAGCATGCAGGTTGTAAGCGTCTGACAGACAGACAAGCATGCAGGTTGTACACTCTGACAGACGGAGAAGCATGCAGGTTGTACAGACAGTATGACAAACAGACAAGCATGCAGGTTGTACAGACACTCTGACAGACGGACAAGCATGCAGGTTGTACAGACAGTCTGACAGACAGACAAGCATGCAGGTTGTACAGTCTGACAGACAGACAAGCATGCAGGTTGTACAGTCTGACAGACGGACAAGCATGCAGGTTAATAAAGACATGCCAGTTGACAGACAGAACAAACAGACAAGGCGTTGTACAGACACTACGACAGACGAAAGCATGCAGGTTGTACAGACACTCTGACAGACAGACAAGCATGCAGGTTGTACAGACACTCTGACAGACAGACAAGCATGCAGGTTGTACAGACAGTATGACAGACAGACAAGCATGCAGGTTATATAGACACCCTGACAGACAGACAAACATGCAGGTTGTACAGACACTACAGACAGACAAGCATGCAGGTTGTACAGACACTCTGACAGACAGACAAGCATGCAGGTTGTACAGACACCCTGACAGACAGACAAGCATGTAGGTTGTACAGACCGTATGGCAGACAGACAAGCATGCAGGTTGTACAGATACTCTGACAGACAGACAAGCATGCAGGTTGTACAGACAGTCTGACAGACAGACAAGTATGCAGGTTGTACAGACACTCTGACAGACAGACAAGCATGCAGGTTGTACAGACAGTCTGACAGACAGACAAGTATGCAGGTTGTACAGACAGTATGACAGACAGACAAGCATGCAGATTGTACAGGCAGTCTGACAGACAGACAAGCATGCAGGTTGTACAGACACTCTGACAGACAGACAGGCATGCAGGTTGTACAGACAGTCTGACAGACAGACAAGCATGCAGGTTGTACAGACACTCTGACAGACAGACAGGCATGCAGGTTGTAAGACACTCTGACAGACAGACAAGCATGCAGACAGACGTACCAGGATAAAGAGTGAGACACACACATACGCACAGACAGAGACTAACAGCCGCTGTTAAAGAATGTCGACAGAGAGATATCGCTATTATATCTCTAGAGAAGAGTTACTGTCTATATTTTAGACAGTGTCTATTGTGTGTGAAGCTTCTTGGCACGAAATGGGACTCCTGGCACCCCTTCGGCACTCCCTGGCAGGCACTGGCAGGCACTATTACTACGATGCAGGCAGCTGGGGGTCGAACAAACAAAAAAACATGCCAGGTTAGCCTCGAGTAATCAAAAGTGTGAGAATTACACCGTAAGAGATATGAAGCACCAGCTGTGTTCCTCTTGTTTTGCTGGACATCACAGACATGGACATTTTGTCCACTGAGGTTGGGGAAAAAATGATAATCGTTGAAGCTTTCTGATCCCCCCAAGATATTAATGTGTTGGTGGGTAAAAGGAAAGGAGGAAATCAGATTTTTCAGATTTGGGCTTCTTCAAAACTGACGGAGAGGTTCGTAATAGTGGTGCGGATCTAACTTAAATTTTTTTTTTCTTTTTGGGAATATGGCCGGGGGATACAGATCTTTAATTTACAGATATTATTGCTGTAGTTTACAGATGATGGAGTTTTTATTTTTTTTGAAGAAGCCTGGATAACCTTACTCCCAGAAATTGTATCAGAGCCTCTCATGAGCTTCAGCAGTGTGTTAGAGACCCGGGCCAAATGTGTTGAATTCTGTACAACAAAGGAACTTGGATGTAGAGAGGCGTACTACCAACAGTGCTGAAACAAAGACACATGTGCAAAATAAGCTTTAATCGCGACACTGAGCAATACGTTAATACAATCAAAGCTTGTTCTGTACCTGTGTCTTTTTTTCAACCTGAGTAACTTAGTAAAGTGTGCGTGTGTGTGTGTGTGTGTGTGTGTGTGTGTGTGTGTGTGTGTGTGTGTGTGTGTGTGTGTGTGTGTGTGTGTGTGTTGTGTGTGTGTGTGTGTGTGTGTGTGTGTGTGTGTATGTGGTGTGTGTGTGTGTGTGTGTGTTATACAACATTGCATGCAAATGAAGCACATTTGGTTGATATATTTTTTCAGAGTAGAGTTGAAAAAAAAAATAAGAGAAATTATTAATAAAGCATAGTATGTGTGTTACAGGAAATGGAAATACAGAGAGGAATCATAGATGTTTATTTTGACACCTTTCGGTTTGATAGTGAGATGTTGCCTTTAGGTGTGACGGAGGTGTTGATGTGGCAGAGGCGTTGATGTGGCAGGTAGGGGCACATCTTCGGGCTGGCAAGACTCATCACTATTAACAGGTAGAGATGGGAGGATAACGGATGATGAAGACAATACACAAGTAACAGAGAAAGGTTATCAGGGAGACAATCACAGACATCTACATTGTCACAGGCATAAAGGAGACGATGGTGATGCAAGGTGGTAATGCTGGTCCTACTTTAGGCCGTAACCATACGAGCATGTTTAGTGATTAGTGAAGTCTAGGATATGTAAGTTCTGCAGCGCTACGTGTAGCAGCATCGGGCGATTTGAGGGAGATTAGATTTGAGTTGGCAAGGTAGTCTTCCACAATGTTTTTCGTGCCCCAGACACATTTCTTTATCAGACTTCACTTTCCACTAGTAATGCCGATGTGGTAAAAGCACAAACAGATGAGGAAGGATATTTGAGGACCAGGTTCAGGGAGCAATGTGAGTTGAAATGATGAGTTAGCTGTCTGGTAAGAAGGTCCCAAAATACAGAAATGTAACAAGCCCCGCAGACATTCATACTTTATAACAGAGATACCAAGGTACTGGCGATACTATGTACACGGAGTGAGGAAGGAAAGTTGTTGAGTCAGTAGAGTTCCAGAGACAGGTAGCAATTTTCTTGAGGATGTAGAGTGTGGATGACAACTATCGAGGCTTTAATATAAAGAAAGTCAACCAAACATTGAAATATCGTCAGTTTTATGACAAAAATCAGTGCGAAAGGTATGGATAGTCTCTGAAAACATCATTGGAGAGCACGGATGAGCAGGGAGGAAGTATGGCTGAGGACTTGTTTACTGAGACTCTCAGACTGCTGGAACGTAGGGAGACATCTGCAACGAGAAGGCCAAGGTTTTCCCTTCCCCTAGAACTAGGATGTCAAAGAGTTGTTTAGGTCCACTTAGGAATATAGGAGTTCAAAGGGCTGAAAAGAGCTTCTTATAGCTCGTGAGCTGAGAAAGGCCATTTGGGGCTAGAAGATCGAAGACTGAGGGCTTGGTGGTTGAGGAAGTCCAGCTGGCTTCTAACATAATATGACGTGAGACGTCCACTTTGGAATAAGAAGACTGATAGCTGAGAAGAATTAGGTAGAAAGCCAGAGCGCTGAGAGCAGCCAGCTGGTGGCTAGGGCAATCAGCTGGGGACTAGGAGACTTGGTTGGGGACTAGGATATGACTCGGCCACGGGAAGTGATTCGACCCCGTCTCTCTTCCAGGTTCTGACGAGGTAAAGAAACATTAGAACATTTAAATGACATCATATGAAATATGTAAATGCTCAAGGTGTCACTAATCTTAGAATAAAAGTTCTACTGATCAGTACATAACCTATTTATATACTATAGTCTATCTTGTGGTTATACCTTCTATATGTTTTACTCAATCACTTTGCTAAGTATGATGCGACATGTTGCTCTCTCACTAAATTAATATCATTCACCTTAAATTCTGTTAAGACGATGTCGTAATTACTTAACATTTCTTTTAATTTCAAATCATTGTTATGTTTATTCAATAGCAAGAGGCAGAATCGCTTGATAAATAAATTATACTGGGAGGTTAAGCGTTAAAATCGCAATGCAAAACTAACCTGCAAACTAGAAATGGCAACCAGACGACGTTTCGATCATTATATGGTCACTCGTTACTTCACATGGTACAGAACGGGCCGAAACGTAGTCTAATTTCCATTTTCTGTTTGTCAATTCGATCGTTACTCTATGTGTATCAGTATCCTCAAGGTACTACTTTACGTCTCCCCTCTGGTGCGTAAACCTTGAAGCTTCTGTTGACATATTTAAGTTTTCTTACCTGGGAGGGGCGATGACCACCTTGTTGCCTCTGACGGGGCCTTGGTTGCTGCCCTCTTCCCTGTGACGGGGATCCTCTGCCACCCCCACGCTGGGCAGGACCCCTAGTTACTGTAGGTTGAACTTCTGGGGGCTCTTGTACTGGGGACTGAGGCACTGGTGGCTGAGGTTCATCCGGTTTGATTTCTGGAGGTTGGAAAGCTTCAAACCCTAAAGAGTCCGTGGCTGCATCCTGTGAATCGAGGAACACTGGAGCGTTCTGGCTTTTCGGCGTTCCTCTCTGCGAAAACTTCGAGCCGGGGAAGGTTGAAGGCTTCGGCGCCGCCACTGTCGGGATCTTCAGCGATGCGGATTTGGACGGCGCTCTGACCGGCTCAGGAGGCTGGGAAGAGAGAGATGTTTGTTCTGTTTCACACACCATAAAACGTGCAGAACAAGTGGTAACAGTGATCAATCGACCAAAATTGGAAAGGAAACTTGAAAAGCAAAGAAATTCAGTTTGTGTCATACATTTCTCTGTATCTTGTCGCTTTGTTGTTGACAAATTTATTTTATAATTCATGTTAGGCGCTAAATTCTTGTGATTTATTCAGCCCAAGACTTGATGGAGGCTTGATGCTCCATCTGCTAAGCGCGAGACAGACGTCCTTCCTATTTGTACTCGCCTAGATCCCTGGGTAAAACTAGTACAGTTCGCTTGTGTTCTCTTCACGCCTCAATAATGTTTTTTTTTTTTTTTTTTTTTTTTTTTTGTGTGTGTGTGTGTGTGTTGACAGGCCAAATAACACGTCAACTGGTTGTTACCCAATTTACATGACTATATTTATATTAAAGCCTGTTTTAGTTAATGTAATTGAACTCAATCGTTTTATTTTATAAATTATATAAATTATAGGCTAAGAACATACATGATTAGTTCACAGAGTATTTTTTCTAATGGTTCTGCTTGTCTAGGTGGTATGAGGCGAGCACATTCACCTCTCAGGTGTATGTACACTGAGAGGAGTATGACTCTCAGTGTATATATATACATTGAGATTTTAATCCTTCTTCAAGACACTGAAGTGTTTTTGACTGGTGGTGAACAGATGACTTCCAGCCTAAATAACCCTCGTGTAGTCTCTAGGCTTGAAACCCCATTAATTCATAGATGCACCTACGCTTCGTGGACTCTAGCTCATGCGTGTACTCAACAAGGGGCTCGTGTTATGGCGTAATCACAACACACGGGAGACTTTCACTAGTGACGAATTTTGCAAGTTCACTCTGCTAATTACGCAGGTGTGATTACAGGTATATGTGTCTCTGTGTGTGTCTGCAAATATGTGCTTATGTGTACGAGTGCTGCCATGTATGCCTGGTAGTGTGTGTGTACGTGCGCGTGTGGGTGTACTGATTAACTAGGCGAATACACACGCAAACACACACATGCTCTCGTGCACGTGAGAATAACGTACGAACATCATGCACATACTCTCACCCCAAGTAAACGTGAACTCACACATGCACATGAACGTGTGTGCGTTTAGGTACATACTATGTGTATACATGAACGTGTGAGAATTTCTGCCAATTCAATGCAACTCCTACTACTCCCTTACCTTCTGTTCCTCCTACTACTCTCTTACATCCTGTTCCTCCAACTACTCCCTTACCTCCTGTTCCTCCTACTCCACCGAAACTGAAGGAAGGTTAGGGTAACATAAGGAAGAGGAAAGAGAACAGCAGCTGGAAAAGAAGAGTAGGTGACAGAAGAAGGAAGGACAGGTGACAGCAACTCACCTTCACCTGCGTGTTGAAGGTGGTGATGAGGTGACAGCAGTCAGTAAAGGAAGCGCAGCAGTACTCTGGGAAGTACTGGTCCTTAGACGTCATACTCGAGCATTTCTAAACCACCATAGAATGATTAATAGTAATAATAATAAAATAATAATAATAATAATAATAATAATAATAATAATAATAATAATAATAATAATAATAATAATAATAAATCTGTAATATTGACATAAAAATTCAAATTATATAAAAAATAACCCTAGTATTTTATAAAAGCCATGAAAGGTATACTAATCCATTTACATAGGACATACTGTATGTACCGAGAGGTATATATGTCTCTCAGTGTATATACACTGAGAGTTTATTTAAATCCCTATTTGAGTATTCATAACTAGTGGTAAATAAGTGAATATTGTCAGATATTTCATTAAGGGTTTATAAGCCAGGGCAACTTCAAAGGTTTCGTTCCAGCAGAAATGGAATTACTATTACTTCAGATTACTTGGTGAATAGGTTCAATGGAGCCTTAGTGACCCTCGTGTAGTCGATAGATATAGACCATATTAACCAGAATATATATATATTTTTCATCGCTTTGTGGGTAAGACATGACCACGACGTTACTCTCAAGGTAGATGTTTATCTAGTTAGTAAAGCAAAATGTCGCCTAGAAATCAAGGCTGTTCCACGCATACTACCTTACTATGATGACAAAGACAAACTAAAAAAAAATATTTACATGTGTACGACCCACGTTGGAGGAGCACTTCTCGAATGGATTTCAAGTTTCAGTAGAATAGGTAATAACACATACAGAGAGAATCACATAGCTTTTTAAATAACGAAAGAAAAGTATAACTTTATATATATATATATATATATATATATATATATATATATATATATATATATATATATATATATATATATATATATATATATATATATATATATCACATAAAGAAACAACTGAAACTTACACACTGGGAGTATCTGGGATGTGACTTCGGTCTCTCCCACTGACCCATTGCTACTGGTGTGGGTCATACACCTACTCCCTGTGGAATAGGTCTAGAGTCTTCAGCCTCTGGTATGTGGGGAGTCGTGTCTACCATCGTACCTTCCATCATTTCGACACTACAGCAACTAGTCACGTTTTGGAGTCAGCGTAAGTCTGCTAAGGTGTTCTTGAAGCTGATGTTTGTGGTGGTGGTGATGGTGTTTTGTTATGTGGAGGAGGGAACATGTTCAGTCTGGGGGGAGGGTGAAGAACATTTAATTGACAATACTTAGATCTTTGAAGGCCCCATTACAATACCAGGGAAATTATAGCGTTGACTTTGACTAAATATGCGTATACAAGTATCTCTAAATTTATTTAATACTAATTATATATATATATATATATATATATATATATATATATATATATATATATATATATATATATATATATATATATATAGAATGGGGTCCACCTCTGGTGTAAATTGTGGGACCCAAAGCCTCGGAGAAGTGGATAAAAAGGCTTCAAGGAAAAATATTTGGATTTCTTCCTGAAGCCGTTTGAATATTCCACTTCCCCTACCACCCCATCTTTTCATATATTTTTTTTTTTACTAATAGGAATATTTTATTACATAATATGGTATAGAAGATTTAAGAGATACATTGTTAATATAAAGGTGGCATATACGGTACATGTTGTTACGTGTGTATCACCGATTATAAGGCGAAAATCTCATCCAGCTCCTCAGAGCTGGGGCGTGTGCCCAAAATACAGCAGGCATTACCCCTTTGAACAGCCGCACTGAGCCGCTGGAACAGAAAACTAGCTGCCCTGGGATCCCTAGTTACCCTGATGAGTCTTTTTCCCAGCTCCTTAAGGAATTTAGATGCACTCTTTCCCCATGAGCCAAGGGTCTCTGAGCCTATGGGAACAAACATATAATGATGGGCAAGTTCTCCATATTTTCTAGACTTTTGGGACTCCCTGAAGCTGGCAGCTGCCCCTCCTTCCTCCCTGGTGTATTGGAGATAGGTATCAGCCAAGGTAGATGCACATGTATAGTCCCACACCACCTGCTTCCCATCTGTCCAGGCTTGAAGGGTGATACCATCTGGACGCTTCTGGCTGCCATCAGATCTGCATAGTTGGGGTGGCTCCCTTACTGCTGGGCATCCAGCTGTTGTGAGGCTCCTCCTGATAATGCTATTAACCTCCTCATGTCTTGTAATCTTTCCCTCGGATTTACGGCACACAAGACCATGGTACCCGAATCGGTCTGCTGCTTCACTGCCACAAATACACCTGTGTTCGGCGAGAATAGGGGCGGCAAGTCGAAGGGCAACACCGATGCGGATGGTCTGTGGGTCGAGACGTGTGCCAAGGCTGGAGTTGGGAACAGCCAACAGAAAGTGCCCAGCATGAGGGGCTCTCACTGCCAGGAGGCGGGCTCTATCCTTCCCTGACACACTCTGAAGCATTGTTGAGGCAATATTTTCCACTATTGGACCATCCCAGTGCGATTGTTTGTAGCTGTTGGGGGGAGCAGGTCTGGCTCCAGAGCCCGTTAGACTATCCCAGATCATTGCTCCGTCAATGAATTTTTGGTCCTGGACTCCAATCTTGTCCCTAAGATGTTCAGGGAGAATCGCTGCTACAAGCTCTCTGGATGCAATACACGAGGACAGAAAAGCAGGTAACGCAATCTGTGATGACTTGCGGACACCAATGCCTCCTAGTCTGACTGGAAGTGTAGCTTGGTTCCACTGCCCGTCGTCTAGAGTAAGGTCAAGTACTTTCGTAAAAATCTGCCTCAGAATACTGTCATATTCGTGCAGTATAGGGTTATCATATGAAGGTGCACATCTTAGGAAATATGTCAACCTATATATATATATATTATATATATATATATATATATATATATATATTATATATATATATATATTAATATATATAAATACTTTAAATGACCGCCTTTCAAAATGGCGGAAATGCACTGTAATATACACTGTTTCACTCCGAGTAGAGCTTGAACAAGGTCTACACAGAGCAAAACGTGGTATATAAACAAGGTTGGCTCAGTACCAGGTGGCTGTCTACCACCCTTCTCGACATTACCTGTTATTCACTGTTCCCTTATCAAAACCATCGTTGGAAATTCAGTGTTATTGCTTTAGCCTGTGTTCTTGAGCTGCTTGTGTTGATCACTTGATCACCTGAGAACCTTCCACGAATCTCCTTGTGTGTGACAAGTCAGTTTGCTGGTGGGTTTTTCCCGTTTCTGTTTGAGATATTCTTACCTTTTTTTTTTAAGTCTTTATCTCTCGATCTGATATTGTTTTGTATCCTAGAGTCTGCGTAACCAACACTGTTCCACTACGCTACTTGAGGAAAATGCATTCGGATGAAGTCCCTTAGGATATCTCTACTGTAGGCGTATCGAGCTTTGGACTTGAAAGGAATAAAGACTCAAGGATCGACATGTCTTCAGTAGAGGTGGTATGTTAATTTTTCTCAAAATGCTGGCAGTCATTTGCCTTCTTGCTTCACTACTCTACTTGTCTAGTAAAACTGCTCTCCACTATTCTACTTTTTCGGAAAATAGTCAGTTACAATCTAAATATGGTGTATAGTCCCGCTACACTGCTTATTTCTAAATAATTATTTTTTTATTATTTTTTTTATTAGCACACTGGCCGATTCCCACCAAGGCAGGGAAGCTCGAAAAAGAAAAACTTTCACCTTCATTCATTTCATCACTGTTTTGTCAGAAGGGTGCTTTACACTACAGTTTTTAAACTGCATCATTAACACCCCTCCTTCAGAGTGCAGGCACTGTACTTCCCATCTCCAGGACTCAAGTCCGGCCTGCTGGTTTCCCTGGATCCCTTCATAAATGTTACTTTGCTCACACTCCAACAGCACGTCAAGTATTAAAAACCATTTGTCTCCATTCACTCCTATCAAACACGCTCACGCATGCCCGTTGGAAGTCCAAGCCCCTCGCACACAAAACTTCCTTTACCCCCTCCCTCCAACCTTTCCTAGGCCGACCCCTACCCCGCCTTCCTTCCACTACAGACTGATACACTCTTGAAGTCATTCTGTTTCGCTCCATTCTCTCTACATGTCCGAACCACCTCAACAACCCTTCCTCAGCCCTCTGGACAACCGTTTTGGCAATCCCGCACCTCCTCCTAACTTCCAAACTACGAATTCTCTGCATTATATTCACACCACACATTGCCCTCAGACACGACATCTCCACTGCCTCCAGCCTACTCCTCGCTGCAACATTCATCACCCATGCTTTACACCCATACAGGAGCGTTGGTAAAACTATACTCTCATACATTCCCCTTTTTGCCTCCAAGGACAAAGTTCTTTGTCTCCACAGACTCCTAAGTGCACCGCTCACCCTTTTCCCCTCATCAGTTCTATGATTCACCTCATCTTTCATAGACCCATCCGCTGACACGTCCACTCCCAAATATCTGAATACATTCACCTCCTCCATATTCTCTCCCTCCAATCTGATATCCAATCTTTCATCACCTAATCTTTTTGTTATCCTCATAACCTTACTCTTTCCAGTATTCACTTTTAATTTTCTTCTTTTACATATCCTACCAAATTCATCCATCAACCTCTGCAACTTCTCTTCAGAATCTCCCAAGAGCACAGTGTCATCAGCAAAGAGCAACTGTGACAACTCCCACTTTATGTGTGATTCTTTATCTTTTAACTCCACGCCTCTTGCCAAGACCCTCGCATTTACTTCTCTTACAACCCCAACTATAAATATATTAAACAACCACGGTGACATCACACATCCTTGTCTAAGGCCTACTTTTACTGGGAAATAATCTCCCTCTTTCCTACATACTCCAACATGAGCCTCACTATCCTCGTAAAAACTCTTCACTGCTTTCAGTAACCTACCTCCTATACCATACACCTGCAACATCTGCCACATTGCCCCCCTATCCACCCTGTCATACGCCTTTTCCAAATCCATAAATGCCACAAAAACCTCTTTAGCCTTATCTAAATACTGTTCACTTATATGTTTCACTGTAAATACCTGGTCCACACACCCCCTACCTTTCCTAAAGCCTCCTTGTTCAATTATTTATGTCCAACCAAATGTTAGTTGAAGCAGAGGAGCGGCCGCTACCAAGGCAAGCTCGCCGGCCCTGTGAGTCTCCTCACCTTGCAGGCCTGGAAGTACTGGTCGCAGCAAGTGTTATAGGCCTCACAGCACTCCGGCAGGCGCGACACCTCCACACTGCTACACGACCTCGAACACTTTTCGCACGAGACGTCCCCAGGTTGACACTGGACTGCTTGACGGCTCCGCCGGATCAACTCTAATCCAAAGCCGCTCGCCCGATCCACCAGCGGTGCCAGCAGAAGCGGCAGCAGCAGGAGGCAGCCGTGGGTCCTCATCCCGCTGAACTTC